GTTTTAGGGGGGCGTGGCAGAGTCTTAACTTTGATAAAGAATATCTCTTTGGTTTTGAGACTTTAGTCTTTGCAACTTCAGGGATTTTATCTATGCACAATCAGCTTGTAACACTCCAAAGAGAAAGGAAAACTTGAAATCGCATCATATGACCCCTTTAATAATAATAATAATGTGATACGTGCCTTAGCAAACACGACTAGTAAACTAGAAACACAAGAGACCCTCCCTCCTCCTTCAAAAGAAATTTGAAAAATACTTGACTAGAAAATTTACAATTCATATGCTAATTAAACCCTTTTGATTCAATGATTGAATTTATCAAAGATTTGCAAATACACATTGTTGATCCCAATGTCCTAAAGTTGTCAATAATCAGGGAGAATAATCAGTGACTCAAAGCAATTTTAGTGTCAAGGCATCCACTGTAATTAGCTTCAATCCATCACTGAAGCGAGTGTGTACTTTTAGATGGTGGGCCATAATTACGAGCTGTCTCGGTGACTTGCCGCATCTCACAATCGAATCATAGCTGAGCTTCCAAAACCCCCACCTGCCCTCATACAAGACTCTGGGACCACACTTACATTTATACGGCACATTCATTTATAATTATAACCCCTTAAACCTTATTATTTTTTCAACCAATAAGGTTCTGATTGTAATTATGGTGATTTAAGAAAATTCAAAACAGCCAAAAAAAAAAAAAAAGACTTGAAGCAGCCTACATGATCCAATATGCATTTCCCAAAGATGCCCTGAATTCGCTGGGTTAATAAAAGGCTTTCTGCCATTGTTTTTTCAGATTTACCAGAATTCCAGTTACTTTTCATCTCCACTTTCTGTCAAACATTGACCTTTTCTTGCATTAGCCTTATTTTATAGTAATGTCACACCATTTAAGAGCCAGCATATGATCAATGTACAATAGATTTGCCTCTTCAAACATTAATAGAACCCTATTGATACCCAACTCCTACAAATAACATTTATTTCCGTTGACTTAAATATCATTGTAGCAGAAGTGTAGCAAGCTTTTTCGAACAAAAGATCACTGTTCACAATGCCTGACATGTATTTTTATTCATTCAATATTTACATTGCTATTACAAAATATCTGACAGACCATAAACTTACTTTGACCATAAATTTACTTAAAAGGTGTCCATTGCATGTTTTCTTTTTTTCAAAGCCGAACAAGTTGTTAGGACTTGATGTACAAGTACAAGACCATGTTGAAAAACACATACAGCAGGAGTTATTGTGATTAAAAACTGTACAGCATTTACATTCCATTATATTTGCATGAACACATACTGATAAAAGTATTGATTAAATCTTGATTGGAAAAAAACAGGTAATTTAAAAACAAAAAAGGCATTAAAACAACATACTGTGATTCTTGGGTTGGAAATGCACATCATGAAAGAAATGCGGTTATAAATATAAACTAAGCAAGTAAATCAGGGGTCGGCAACCAAGTTAGGAGCAATAAATACTATTGAAGAGTAAGATTTTAACATGCGCTAAGCACACAGCTCTGACAAACCATTTACCACCGCCCAGCTTTTCGGTGTAAAGCCCAAGATAAGTATAACAATAAATAAAAATGGTCTGCACTCTAAGGTTCTTTACTCAATTTTCAATTGTGAAATAAAATGTCACAAATGTTTAGTTTAATTAGTTTTTAGAAAGAAAAAAAACTATCACCATCATTTTTGGAGATATTCAGCACAGTATACAGAATCCTTCACATTCCACACACAAATTATAAGTTTAAAACCCATTCTATGGAGAAAAAAGAGCTTCAGAAATATATAAGATTCTCTACTATTTGTATGATACACATTATATTATTTTGATTTTGTGATTAATATGCAATGAAAAATGTTTTACATTTTTCCATTAAATTTGAATGAATTGTGTATGCATGGCACAATGATTAACTTCATGACAATAGCACTTCATGAAATCTCATTGAAATGTCTTCTATAGGATCTACATGTTTAGTGATGATCAAATTGCAATAATATGCAAGTAAGGGAGTAGTATGGTGGCTGTAAAGTGCAAAGCAGATCACAATTCTGAAAACAAAATAACAAATTACAAACGCAAATGCAAGTCTAAAAAACAAAAAATAACAATTCAGAAAGCACAACAACAATTCAGAAAACATTATAACAAGTCAGAAAGCACAACGACAAATCCGAAAAACAAATTAACAAGTCAGAAAACACAACGACAATTCAGACAAACCGGAAAAGGTAGGTATAGTTTGAGACAGCGCCATTGGTTTGGGATTACTCACCGCTGACTGGACGAGACATCTGCCAATCAACGTATACAGAGAAGAACCAGCCGAAGAACAGCAGAGTCGTGGTAGAAAGTTCGGAGATGGTATTAAAGTAGCTCAGTTTAAATGTATTGTATGAATTGCCCTTACTCTGGAATAAAAAATACGGGGTGTCTATTTAGATTTAGTTAAAAGTGTCTGTCAAACATCAGTTCCAGTGGTGCAGATGGAAAAGCACTTGCCCTTGGCTTGTTGACGTGATCGACCCGGGTTTGATCCTGCCTTTTGCCAAACTTTTTTTTTCTCCCTTTTCAAATCTCATATTAGCAATGGATT